AGAGAGGGATCCCCACCGCGGTTTGACCGCGTTTACGGTGGAACCGCGGTAGACGAGGTTCAGAGAGGGATCCCCACCGCGGTTTGACCGCGTTTACGGTGGAACCGCGGTAGACGAGGTTCAGAGAGGGATCCCCACCGCGGTTTGACCGCGTTTACGGTGGAACCGCGGTAGACGAGGTTCAGAGAGGGATCCCCATCGCGGTTTGACCGCATTTATGGTGGAACCGCGGTCTGGGCAGTATTCTGAACCTTCGTTTTTTTTTTGTTTTTTTTGTTTGTTTGTTTGTTTGTTTTTTTATATATAATGTGTTACACTTTACAACAATGCCGTGGGTTTCCTCCCACGCAGCGTCTGATTNTATATAATGTGTTACACTTACAACAATGTCGTGGGTTGACGTCCCACGCAGCGCCTGATTTAACGTCGCGGCACGACGCAGGATGAGCGCATTTAAGGCTCGGTCGACCTCTGTGGTTCAGTCAGGTGCAGCTCCGACACTTCCTTTGGCTCGCTCATGCCCACATATGGCTTCAATCTTTGACCATTGACTCTAAATGTACGAGAGTCATTCTCTGTGGCAATTTCAACAGCCCCTGAAGGGAAAACTTCAACTACTCGAAATGGTCCAGACCATCGTGACTTAAGTTTACCTGGGAACAGACGTAGTCTTGAGTTGTAGAGCAATACCATGTCCCCGGATTTGAAATTCCTCTCAACAATGTTCTGGTCATGCAGCCTCTTCATTCTCTCCTTGTATAACTTTGTGCTCTCGAAAGCAAGATATCTGAACTCCTCGAGCTCATGCAGTTAAGTGATTCTTGTTGTGCCCGCAGCTTCCATATCCAAGTTCAGCTGTTTCAACGCCCACCACGCTTTATGTTCAAGTTCCACTGGCAGATGGCAGGCCTTCCCAAACACCAACTTGTATGGTGACATACCAATTGGTGTCTTGAAAGCAGTTCTGTAAGCCCAGAGTGCATCATCTAGCTTCCTCGCCCAGTCAGTTCTTGTTGCGTTTACAGTTTTGGTTAACACACTCTTGATTTCTCTGTTGGACACTTCAACTTGTCCACTAGTCTGCGGGTGGTAAGGAGTAGCCACTTTGTGGCGCACATCGTACTTAGCAAGCAACTTTTTGAAGGCTCTGTTGCAGAAGTGAGTGCCTCCATCACTGATAATTGCTCGTGGTGTCCCGAAGCGGGTGAATATATTCTTTTTCAAAAATACCACTACCACTTTTGCATCATTGGTGGGCAACGCAGCAGCTTCTACCCATTTGGACACATAGTCTACAGCCACAAGGATGTATTTATAGCCATAGGAGCTGACGAAGGGACCCATGAAATCAATCCCCCAGACGTCAAACACTTCCACCTCTTGAATTGGGTTCATGTGCATCTCGTGGCGCCGGGAAATGTTCCCGGTGCGCTGACATTCATTGCAGCCCTTCACCCATAAGTGAGCATCTTTAAACACTGTTGGTCAGAAGAATCCAGCCTCTAGCACCCTTGCTGCTGTCCTGACCCCTCCAAAGTGTCCACCATACGCCGATGCGTGACAAGCCTGCAAAATAGAAAATTGCTCTATCTCGGGGACGCATCTCCGGATCAAATTATCAAGACATATTCTAAATAGATAAGGCTCGTCCCAGTAATATTGGCGGCTTTCCCGATAAAACCTTTTCCTTTGGACCGATGAATGGTCGTGAGGAACTATACCACTGGCCAGGTAATTAGAAAAGTCTGCATACCATGGCGCTTCCTAAGAGTGGTGGCTAGCAGCTGCTCGTCTTGGAAAAGTTTCCAGAATTTCCTCAACCTCAACTGCCTTTTCAGCTCCCTCAAGTCGTGATAGATGATCAGCGACTTGATTCTCAGTGCCCTTACGGTCACGAATTTCAAGATCGAATTCTTGCAGTAGCAACACCCAACGAATAAGGCGTGGCTTAGATTCTTTCTTTTTGATTAGGTACCTGAGAGCTGCATGGTCAGTATATACAATTACCTTGGACCCTATCAGGTAGGATCAGAATTTGTCGAACGCGAACACCACAGCTAACATCTCCTTATCAGTCACCGTGTAGTTCAACTGGGCGCCACTCAACGTTCTACTAGCATATTAGATTGGGTGCATCAGTTTGTCTTTCCGCTGGCCCAGCACTGCCCCCACTGCATAGTCACTGGCATCACACATTAGTTCGAACGGTTGCTCCCAGCTGGGGGCAACAATGATGGGTGTTGTGACCAATCTCTTTTTCAACTCCTCAAATGCTACCCTGCAATCATCAGAAAACAAGAACGGGTGATCTTTTTCTAACAACTTACATAGAGGGTTGGCAATTTTGGAGAAGTCTTTTATGAACCTCCGGTAAAAACCGGCATGCCAAGGAATCTTCTGATTGCTTTGACTGAGGTTGGGGGAGGCAGCTTTGCTATTACATCCACTTTCGCATGATCCACCTCAATTCCCTTGCTTGACACCCGATGCCCCAAGACTATGCCTTCTTGTACCATGAAGTGGCACTTCTCCTAGTTCAGAACCAAGTTAGTCTCGATGCACCGTTTCAGAACTCGCGTCAGATTTATCAGACACTTATCAAATGAATTCCCCACCACTGAGAAGTCATCCATGAACACCTCCATTATGTCCTCTACCATGTCAGTGAATATGGCCATCATGCACCGTTGGAATGTGGCAGGTGCATTGCATAGGCCAAAGGGCATCCATCTAAAGGCATAAATGCCATACGGGCAGGTGAAGGAGGTCTTCTCTCTGTCCTCCGGTGCAATGGAGATCTGATTGTACCTTGAATACCCATCCAGGAAACAGAAGTGTGACCTCCCTGCCAGTCTGTCCAACATCTGATCAATGAAGGGAAGTGGGAAATGGTCTTTCCGGGTCGCAAGATTTAACTTCCGATAGTCCATGCAAATTCTCCAACCTGTGACGGTTCTTGTAGATATCAATTCATTGTTGTCATTTTTCACAACCGTCATGCCACCCTTTTTAGGAACACATTGAACTGGGCTCACCCAGCTGCTGTTAGAGATTGGAAAAATAATTCCCGCATCTAACCATTTTATTACCTCCTTCTTCACCACTTACTTCATGTTGGGGTTCATCCTCCTCTGGTGTTCCCTGGAAGGTTTGTGACCCTCTTCCAGCAGAATCTTGTGCATGCAGTAGGCGGGGCTGATCCCCTTGATGTCTGCCATGGTCCACCCAATGGCAGTTTTGCACTCCTTTAGTACCTGTAAGAGTTGTTGAGCCTGCACATCTAACAAGCTAGATGAGATAATAGCAGGTAATGTGGAGTCAGGCCCCAGAAATTCATACCTGAGGTGGGCGGGCAAAGGCTTTAACTCCAGCTTTGGTGGTTCTTCAATAGATGGCTTGGCTGGAGGAGTTTCCCTTTTTTCTAAGTGCAAGGGCTCAAATTCTAGATTTCTATCCCTGAACCCTCTACCTTCTAATGCCAACACCCATTCCGCTAGATCCTCCCCATTCACTTCATCTAAGTTCATTAAACATGCAAATAGGGGGTCCTCAATAGTCAACACCTCATCATCAGACTCCACTATTACATCCACGGCATCAATAAGAGAGCAATTGGCGAACTCGCCTGGTCGCCTCATAGACTTCTGCACATTGAATGTTATTTCTTCATCATTGAGCCTCATCTTGAGCTCCCCAGTCTCACAATCAATCAGAGCTCTTCCCGTGGCCAAGAATGGTCTTCCTAAGATTATAGGAATCTCTTCATCCACTTTGCAATCCAAGATCACAAAATCTGCAGGGAACACGAATTTCCCTACCTGAATCAGCACATCATCAAGGATACCAAATGGACGCTTCACAGTCCTGTCGGCCAATTGCAACAACATAGAGGTGGGTCTAGCTCTCCCAATGCCCAACCTCTTATAAATAGCCAGAGGCATAAGATTAATGCTGGCCCCTAAATCACAGAGCGCCTTAGCAAAGGCGAAATTTCCAATAGTGCACGGAATTGTAAAGCTCCCTGGGTCAGACAGCTTTTCTGCAATTGGCCTAGTCACCACTGCACTACAGGTCTGAGTAAGTGTAACTGTGGCCAAGTCTTGAAAGTCAAACTTCCTGGACATCAAGTCCTTCATCATTTTTGCATATCCAAGCATCTCCTTTAAAGCTTCGATCAATGGTATATTCACCTGGATTTGTTTAAGCATTTCAAAGAACTTCTTATATTGCTCCTCCTTTTGATGCTTGGCCAACCTCTGTGGGAAAGGTACAGGAGGTCTCTTCTTCCCAATCACTTGGGACTGATCTTTACCAGCTACTATCTCAATTACTGGCTCCTGAACTGGGTCAGCTGCTTCCTCGGTCTCCTGCTGAATGCTCTCTTCTTCTTGTGCAGGCTGGACTGTCACCTCTGTCAGTTTAGTTGTCTCGTCCAGCTCAATGGGCACTGGTATGAGTGTTCCATCCTGAATATTTTGTCGAGCCCTCTCTTGTTCTACATCCAGATCCCTGCCATTACGGAGACTCACCGCCATCAGCTGCTTTGGGCCCTGATCTTTTGGATTTATTTGTGTGTCTGCAGGTAATGTCCCTTGAGGACGATTGTTCAGAGACATGGAAATCTGGCCCATTTGCATTTCGATATTTTTGATTGCTGCATCATGTGCATCTACTCTCTCATTGATTTTGGCATTGGACCCAATAACCTGCTGCATCATTGCTTCCAGTCTAGAAAACCCATCTTCTTGTCTTTCACCATGCTGCTGCTGAGGTGGATGATACCCTTGCTGCTGATTGTGATTGTTGTACCCCTGTGGCCTGGGATAAGGTGCCATATTGTTGGGGGGTCTCATACCTCCCATGTTTCCTGTGTTAAATTGTGGCTGCGCTGGCCTGTATTGCTGGCCCCAGTTCTGATTGCCCTGTCTCTGGCCTCCATAGTTGGACACATAGTTCATGTCCTCAGGGTGTTGATGTTGATGATCATGTTCTGCGTTCCAAGGATTACCAATTGGCTGGCTAATGCAAGATGTGCACAAGCCCCCGTTGGTAGTGTCTACAATATGTACTTGTTGTTTCTGCCCTGATTCCTCAACCTTTTTGGTGAGTATGCTCATCTGTGTCAGGAGGGTCGCCATATTTTCAGCC